CACCAGTGGAACCGGTACCGCCGAAAAGCCCGCTTTCTAATTCACCACTTATAATACATTATTGGTAAGGTATTCTGACCAGTGCCAGTGTCCACTCGTTATGGCCACACGGGGACAAAGCGTTTCTTTATATGGTTTTTGCTGGGTCGGCATATCATTTTTGAAACACTGGATTGGAGCTGAGGCTATTTTTGTCGGATCACTTGGATTTCATACGGATTTTGTTGAGAGATTTGAATTCAATAATATGAATCATAATTTTTTTTATTCTAAATTCAGTTTGTAATGAGGGGTTTTCGAAAAAAGTACCATGCTTCTTTTATAGTGCACTGCGGTGGTTAGGTTGGGTAAGTTTAGTTTATGATAATGACAAGCAAGGAAGCATTAAAATTTATCTTTTTTGAAACGCAAGGGTGTTTCTGGAAGTAGAGGGCACTAGTATAATTGCTATCTTTGTAAATTTGTCTCTTTAACAATGTACAAAAGTGCAAACTTAATTTTTGTAAATATTACCATTGATTATTGGATACTGATTGATTGTATTAATAGTCAAGATATTACCCTGTTTGTATTTACTAACAACTAAATGAAACTAACGAAGCCTAGCCACAGTAGTGCACTGTAAAAGAGTGGTGGCTCTATTCTTCAAAAACTCAAGAATGAGTATTATTTTCTCTCTTTTCAGTCGAAGAAAAGAGTTTGCACGTTTATTCTGTTTATTCCATTCTTATTTTGCACATTTCATTCTGAAGTATATGGTTAGGAAGAAGTAATTGTTGAAGCTTTGACTCTGTTGTTCATTGGTTGTAAATCCAAGCAATTGATACACTCGACTATTTAAATAATAGGTTTAAAAATCTTTGCTACACAAAATAGGCAAAATGAATAAGCCCGCACATCGCAACACTAATATGACTGTACACACAATTTTAGAAACACTTTTAGGCATCATTAAAATTAAAAGACAGAAATCGGAGAATCAGAAGTACAGAACGTTCCAGCAGTTCTGACCGGTTTGCCTGTTACTCATGTAATGGCCAAACACGTTCGAACAGGCAGAGTGAAGAGGCAGACTTTCCATATAGTATGAAGTTTATATCAAGCAGCGGGAATGTTAATCCCAACAGTTGGCGGCCCTGCTCGATTCCCGCCATCCCGCCATTCGCAAGCTTCACTTTACATAATAATAACTCCAACACGGCTCAGGATTGTGTTTATCTTATTGCATCTAGAGTGGCATTTCTCCTGGTTGTAAGGTACTTTCCTCCTGCGAGCCTGCGTTTAGATAGGCAAATTGTACGCTTGGACTTGTTTAATTTCTCGCAGTTGAAGATTAGGAGTCGCGGGTTGATCTGAGTGGTTTGTAGACGCCATATGGCATTCGATGTTATTGCAAAAATTGTTTTGTTAAAATTTTGTTAAAAACTAAATATCAGGATTTTTCTTAATTTGGATTATAACATGCTTTTATAAATAGTTTGGTACCTATATAAACAAATCGGTTACAAAATAGTTCAGGTAAAATTTTATTGGTAGTTTTCATAGTAAAAACAGATGAAGGACAAGATTTTAGTAAGCGGAGACCTGTATTTTTGCAGGATTTTCAAAGAACTATATCACTGGGTAGATATAGCACGCTTATAGCTTTTAGTGGACATGTGCTCGCTCGTAATGTATAAAACTTGCTGCACTATAAAGTTTTAACCGGTAAGATAATGCCCCTTACTCCTTAGCGGGTCTACATAGGCGTACTGGACTTTTTGATTTTTCTCAAAACTTCAGTGTCTTTTTCAGGTTGCATTATTGAGTATTATAATCCTTTTTGCATGCCATAATCTCTTATCTCTTTCTACATAAAAAGTTCTTCAGTTAGTACTAGCATTAATAGATCGATTTCTGACCCTTCACTGGAAACAGGAAACTATTCAATTTGTGACCACCTTCTCAATAAAAATATCTCATTTTTCCACTTCTTAGTACAATACAAATCTAAAAACGGGCTGACACAGTGAAACTCGATATTTGGGTCTTTTACAGTAATGCTACTCAAACTGCTCCGTAATTTACAAGGGGACCACCATCATGGCAATCCGAGTCGTCAAAATTGGGTTTCTGTGACAGGCAAATGCACTTTTCCTCCAAAGACCAGTCCCATTAACACGGAGGCTGTGACTGTACCAATGGATAATTGTAGACTTGATCGAGCGCCAGCAGAACCCCAGGGGGTACAGACTACAGACGTCGTCTATCGCAGCGTTTCTGACACGACCGATCACAGTCGGAGAGAGAAACCCGGGTAGCAACGCAGTATGCCAACAAATCCATAACGGAATTTACTATGGCAACTTTAACAATTAACTTTGGGATATGGCACCATAAGCCATTCTAACTACAGATTGTCGCTGCATAATCTCTAACCGAGTTTCTGAACTCTTCGGTGGAACACGTCTGACGTAAACTCTGGCCCCTTTTACTGGTTTGTGGAGCATTTATGACGAATCCTCTGATTTATACATAACCTGACTGGGACGGTGGCGTCGTCCTGTAATCCAGCTAATAGGTCACGAATTGTGGATATTTATAGGCATGCACTGTGGATGTGGTACTCCCTGGTGTGGATTAACCCGCACTAGTGCGTACTACAACTATCCCCAGTACTATCCTGATAATTAGACTAATTCGTTAATACCAAGTACCAAGGCAAAAATGTGGTTCGGATTCCACTATAAACTGTAGGTCCTTTAGTTGCCATTAGGTGTATGTGCTATTAGTTAAGATCTGTGACTAAGGAATATCCTTAGTCATCAACAAGTCTACAAGATCGAGCCACTCATCCTACACTCATCTCCATTTATACTTGGGTTAAAATACCTACTCTTGTATCGTCGCCATTTCAATGAAAAGTATAAAAGTAGATCACTGGTGGCAAAGTGAGATTTTCTGATATTTCTTCATACTGGCACACTACTAGTCTAATTCGTTCCTAGTCTATATATGTTTTCCTTTGCATATAACGTGCTGTGTTCTGTTGACTGTCTATGCAACCAACTAAATTGTGCGGAACGTTTTCTATTCTTCGAAAACGTTTCTAAACACAGATGTTTGATTTTACGGTAGTTTACGTTACAAACTCTAGGAACGATATTGATCAAACACGTAAATTTACCAAGCTAATTATAATGTTCTAAACTATGAGTTTGTCAGGATCATAGATTTAAACGTATACTGTATCAAACAAAACGTTATGTGATAGATCTTGAAAGTCTTACAGTTGATCCCTTTAATTAATTTGTGAGATAACCAGAGATTGATTGCTATTGCTACACAGAAAACTTGTTTTGACTGAGAAGCTTCGATCGTAAACACATTCACTACATTACATACCACTTATACCAAGCATTTTAACCAATATACAACCGTAAACCAACATACCGAAAACACCTTTTTGAATCGCAACTAAATCTACATTAACCACTAATCTCAATCCACCATAAAACGTTACCACAAAACCATAGTCGCCCTGGCAACCACACAGCACATTTTGGGTGGTTTATGTTCGTCTAACAACCCAGTGGGTCGGAACACCTGCAGAATTAGTTTTATGTTGAGCCGAAATCGTCTGGAACTTCGGAACCGCCCACTTCCCATGACGCAGCAAACCTACGTTCGTGTGAGTTTAGCACAGCGTGAAACGGAAAAAAAACTCTATATACATTAATAATTTAAGTATACAGCCGTGGTCGCCTTTTAGTACATAGAGGTTAGAGGTAATTCAGGAAGGTAGGTAAGTAAGGGGATGAGCAGAAATTCCTATATTCGAATTACAAATACTGTACATGTAGCTATCTTAACTATGGCCAAGTAACTATAGTGATCAAATAACACGCTGTTTTATTTTGGCACAGCTTAATTGGTAACGGTTTGATTCTGGAATCCCAACCAAGAGAAATAATCTATATCTAAAATTTAGAAAACTGACTAACCGTAGACTGTTAATAAATGGAAGCACACTCTGGGGTTACAACAAAGAGAAATACAGTATACAGTACAATTTTTTATGTATTAACTAAAACCAGATAGACAAGGGAGTGATCCTTATATACCCTTATACTATTTACAAAAATACACTGATAAACACTGATAAAATGATAAGTTGCTCTAGAAATTGTAACTGTACAAAAATGTATTAGCACATTTACCAACGTAATATGTAGGTTTTGGATCGTACACAGCCTGTATATTATTTTTAGAACCATCTCAGTAATCAATTAATAAAGGGTAGAAAGAGTGGGGAGGTAGATGCGGACTAGATGGACCGCATTCCTACAGTACAGTCCAGAACATAACGTAGGATATAGACGGTAGATTCAGACACTGACTTGGTCCCTCCACAGTACTGCAATCGTTGACAGTACTTGAGTGCCTATAATAGGGTAGGATATTTTATACTACCTTTGCCACTCATGTTTGATGTTTGTAACAACTGTCTCAAAGAGAACGATTGCTTACCCCACTTTTGATGACTCACAGAGATCGTTTTTTTAGAACTCACATGTTTATGACTGAAGTAAAGTATATTTTACAAGGCAGAGTGATATTTTTCTATTTTGCTGTCAGACAAACCGACCATGGTGTGTTTTGGGGAAGCTTCGAATTTGACTGTCCTAACGTGGGTTCGCAATTTGAAATTGTTAAAATCGTATATGAAAACGGGGTCTAGTGGTAAAGCGTGGGAATTCGGTCCTTGATGTACCTAGTCCAAATCACACCAATCACCAGTGGAATTTATCCAAGTAATAATGCCACGACCCTCTAGGTCTTAGGTTCCGGTTATAACCTAGCGTCAGCAAGGATGTGAAGATGAGACATGAGAACTGACAACATTTCTGCAAATCTTGTCACATTAAATTACCTCGGAATCACTTTCACATTTGAGTTAAATAAAGTGAATCAATGGTATCCACATAAATATACAAGCCACTGTGTTATTAAATGTAACTTACCTTTATTTATAATATACAGGTTAAATTAGTTTTTATTTAAAGTGTCGGCGTTTTTCTCACTATCGTTATCAAGTTTTATCTTCTTGCCCTCAAGTGCTGTATCTGAATCATCGCTTCTATCTTCGTGATCTATTCTTCTTTTATTGCCACATATGTTTTTTGGTGCTTTTCTTGTGAACTGCACCTTCTTGACCAGGAACGAAATGATGGATGGAATTTGTTTTTTGACGACGCCGCCAACGCCATTGTCTCTGATATCAATTGCGGAATAATCAATAGCAACCCTTCTCCCTACATGGGTCAACAGTGTAAGCAAATCTTGTTCGGTTCCCTTGCGATCCAAATAGGCGCAGAGGGTTTGAATGTACCATGAACCTGCCGTGGGGCTACGCCAGGATACGTATCCAGGGATGGTGGAGAGAGCAAGAAGGAAGTCTGGAGAAGAGGGTAAAACATAACTTGGAATTAGAGTTGTAATCTCCGATCCCTCGTCGGCCACTTTAACTCCACTCATTCTTCCATGACCTTGACAAGCTTGTATGACGAATATCTTCGGCTTGTTGGCTAAACTCGGTGCTCTCTCGGGGGTGAAATATGACCAGAGGTGGTTCACATCGAACACCACGTCTTTGGCTCGCACCTTGCCTTCTAAACCGTGACTCATGAAGACTAACAAGAAACAGTCGCATTTCGAATGATCCATTTGGCTGATGCTGGACAGGGCTAAAGTTATTTCAGAGAACGTCAAGTCAATGAAGAACTGAAGATTGAACCCCAAATTTCCAAATGTCCGACGCAGACTTTCTATGTCTTTATCACTGCCTAATCGATGGTTGATTAAGCTGTTGTCAAAGGAAGCGTGGTTGAAAATGGCGGCTACTCCGCGACGTGGGTTGTCCATATTGTAATACTTGTTGTTCACCTCTTTACTTCTGGATGGAGCTTGTGGTTTTCTGGCCGAAATTTTGTTCCTCACAAATTCATCACTCATCATTACGGTTGTGTTTTTTGAAGGGACGACAATTTTGCTAACCTTTCCTTCAAATTTAGGGTGGATTCTGTTGCTTGGTAACTTTTCGACATAGATTATACTTCAGCCTAACAATCACAGTTAAATCATCAACCAGACCTTTTGTTTACTCTTTGAGTAAGTTAATTGCCGAGCGATACCAGATGGAGGACATATCCAGACGCTTCTTTGGCGTCGTCAGTAGACCTGTAACTTGCTCAGACTGGTCAATAAACCACTTTAATGAGATGCGCAAATGTAGAAGTTGCCTGTCAGGCAAATAAATTAAGTTCCACAGTCGTATTATAATGTAGGTTAATTTCAAAACCAAAGAAATGTCAGGGATTATAAATTAGAGAGCGGTTCACAGACTGGTTTGTATCGTTAGTTTGCCCGTTTATGTAAAATTGCAAGATTAAAACACCTCGCAGTGTTCAGTTTATTGACAAGTTAATCGTGTAACCACAATGTCGTCTTGAGTAAAATCAAAATGTGAGTAGATTAAGAAGAAAAAGATACAAGTTTATTAAAAATATCGCAAACATTATATTGTACACAGCTACAAACTTAAAATTTTTCCTGAAATTATCTTTTTATGTAATAAGTAATGATGTAACTTAGACAAATTTCGTCACCTAAGCTACTTTTAATTAAATGCAGGTTAGTTACATCTTTGTTTCAATGACGATGGTTTTTTAAAGGAGCTCAGTTAAAATTTTTTAATTTTTATATGAAAATTTGTAGTATCTATTACAACAATCGCGAAGAGCTAAATAAATTAATAATTATTATGTAAAGTGTACCGGTATATGTGCAATTGAAGGTTACGGAGAGAAAAAAAAACTGGATATCTAAAATTATAGAGAAATTCTTTTGGAAAACATAAAACTGTTGTGCTGTAGTTAGCTTGTTTATGAATATATTATTGGGATCAAATTTGGCAAATGCATTTTTAATTTATACTATACTATTGACATTTTATAAGAAAACCACATTTTCTCTTTTGAAGCGGCAAACGTTCAATCTTAAGTGTTATTCATAGAGAATAAATCTAACATGTCTAAGGAAATATTTGAGTAAAAATTTGGTTGGACAACTGAAAATTCACTAAGCAGCTGAAAAGTAGTCTGTAGGTTTGCTGCAGTGGAGGTTTTGTTTGAAATCCGTTGTAAATCACCCGATTGAATTAATCAAGGTATGCCAAATACGTTCACACATCCATAGTACTTCCAGTTTTCCATTTAGTATTGTACTTGTATTGTATTTTTAATAGTGATTTTACAGGATTTCCCCAAAACGGCTCGAACGGTTTTTAATTAAAATTCAGTTGGCTATCGTCCTTTTTAATCTAAAAATTGTACAATCAATAGCACAACAAATAGGACAATATTGTTTAAAAATAACTACTTCCATCACTTCCATCGCTTGCCGATTATAAGGGGCTTTGACTAGCTTATGGTAGAAAGTATGCGCCAGCATCCTGATAAATTTGGTTTATATTAAAGTCCACTATAGGATTTGGTCACATTCGATTTTGATCAACAGTTATACAGTAGTATTGTTTGAAATGCTAGGGAAATTCATGCCCTTTTTTATTGGACCTGCTTGAACAAATCGAGTCAAAGCAACTAGGTAATATGATTGTTTTAAATGTTCGCTGATTGAGGACATTTTTCACATTCTGTTGGTTTTACTAGCTGCGCGTGCTGTTTTTTATTGTAGCCGTTTTCCTGCTAATTACATTATTTACAGAAGAGCTTTGTTCGAAATCGAGCTATTAGGTACCACGAACCAAATGAAACATTGTCTATACCGGTAATTAATGTAGGCATAAGTCTGCAACGAGCAATGTTTTAGTCGATCAAATCGGCATAACCACACCATGTAATGTCCTACTAAAGCGCCAGTTTACCGATGGTTACAGTATTTTCCACGAGGTGCGCCACCAAACAGAGATGTATGTTTCATCCATGGAAGTATACCTAAGTATTTTTGTAAGGTACGGTTACATAAGATTTACACGAACAAATATCTAACAAAATACATGTACAGTAACCACTGTATGCAGATAAGCAAGAACCAATAAAAAAAGTGAAATTGTAGGGGGATTTCACTTGAAACCTTATTAATTAGGTCTACTGATAGTGGGCTGGAGCTTCGTATATCAAAACTGCAAATTGTGATAAGAAACCCCCTTTTGGTATGAATGCAGGTTATTGTCTCACAACTAAAATAAGATGGGGAGGCATTTCCTAAAGTTGTTATAATCCAAAATAATGGCGGTTATTTTTCAAGTATTTTGTGTTTACTTATTTATTCACTAATAAAAGCTTGAAAATGGCATTAACACTATTAAATTTTGGTATAATCTTAATCTGGAGATTCCGGCCTTTAATTTAATACCAAGTTTGTAATATATTACAATTATATCATCTCTATAATCTAATTAATAATTGTAACTTACGTCAATCAATCCAGTTGTGCAGCAAATAATACTGTAGTTTAGAAAGAAATGAATGTATTTTCCAAATTTGATCAAAATATGTTCGTAAACATGCAAACTACAACAGTTGACTTATTCTCCATAAGAATAACATGGGAATGTAAAAAAATTTAAAAGTTTTTGGAATTTTCCTCCGTAACCATTGGACGCATAATAACGCTTCAATATACTAAATTATTTGTTTTTTGTAAGCTCTACAAAATGGTTTGGGAAGAAATGGTGAAATTTGGTGTTTTAGGGTCAAAAATGGGAAAACCTATTTTTACCCCATAAAACCCCCTATAAAACCCCGTTCCCATGGTCCGATCATGTTGGTTTGTGAACTCATTCAAGTTTATCCCATCTTACACCTTTAAACCAAATTTCATCAAAATCGGACAAAAATTACTCAAGTTATCGCGCTCACGGACACACACACAAATACAAATATATACATATACATATATACAAATTTAATCGAATGGCGTTTTTGGCCTCCGGGGACATCAAAATGAAAAAGTAAATCGGTCCCGGGCCTAGGTCCGGGACTATGCCACCTACGGTAAAAGATACTTCCCTATATATAGGGAAATTCGTAAAAAATGGTTTTCTGCCACTTCTAAAATATAAAGTTTGGGGCTGTACATTTTCTGTAAATAAATTTACGTTTATTACATTATTACTCAACTTATTTACTTACCTTATACCTAAAAACTTACTGATAAGAAACGCCATTTTGCACAATGTTTATCATAAGAAAATATATAAACACCAAAATTCGGGCAGCCATTTTTAAAAATCGCCGGCATTTTGGATTATAGCAACTTTGGTCGGTGCCTCCCCATCTTATTTGCATTGCCTAACCTTAAACTACATTCCCACCAAAGGGCACACTCTTATCACAATTTTCAGTTTTCCTATGGGGTTTTTTACTTTAGCTCCCCCCACTATGACTATTAATGTAACCTTATTGGAAACAGTTCGTATAAATTTTAACAATTCAGACTAATCAATTTTAAGTTATTATTCGTTCACGTTATGTAAATTGTACAATTCTTGGACAGCAGCAACTACAAAAAGACAGTAGGGCATCTAGCACGGCCACCTTATTTAACTCCAGGCCGCGGCCTTCGAAGTAGCAACATCGTAAGAGGTGTTGTAACAGCTGCTTTGTCTGGAGTATGGTATTTGGAGTAACGATATTTGTTTGCTTTTTAAGAATACGAAAACATGGTTATGGAAATATTGACTCTACTTTAAGTGTACAAAAATAGATTTTTATTGTAAATACTATTTTGTTTTCATCTATGTATGTTTTATTTTCAATCTTTTGATAAATTTATGTTCATCAATTTAAATTTAAATAAATAATACGTGAATTAATGAGCTGTGTCACCTGCCTGTTATGCCATCTTATGTGATGTCTGGTGCTGGTCCTAAACAACACTTCTTGCAACGTTGCCAATTCTACAAGGCTGCGGCCTGGAGTTAAAGGTGGCCGTGGTCGATACTAGCATTGACTTTATATCTACACGTGTAGATATAAAGTCAATGATAGGCCTACTAGGCTACCGTTTCACTTCCACTTCTAGACTATACAGTACACAATGCTATATTTTCACAAATTTTTACAACCATACAATTTTGAAATATTATTCTTCGTTCGTTCTATCTCATTCAAACAATAAAATAAAATACCTGATTAACGTGTCTTAATTCCTGCATAAAAACTAGCCCCAAAGTTAATATATGCTATGACTACTTAGTGTTCCATATTCAATGCTAAAAAGGCCAGCTAGCTGGTTAAACTTAACTGCCCACATACACACGTTGAAAATCTTTGGATTGCTTGTTTTGATTTGATTGGTGGATTAGGATTGGTTGGATAAGGAAAACTCAAACACTCAACTCAAACCAAACCTCAACCTCAACCTCACTCAATCAAACTCAAAGTTGATAATAAAATTGAAATTGATTTGATTTGGTGTTTGTTTACTATTTAGCTGAAGTCAAAGTTTATAATTAATTAAACAGTATTTAATTTGTTAGAAAGGGGTTTTATTAGTTTAATCTTGCTTTATCATAAAACTTCTTATACAACAGTACTAGGCCTAAGTTTAATTTACTGTCACTGTAGGTGATGTCAATCATGAAAGTTTTTTTTTAGGTTAAACGATAACAAATCTGGGTTAGACTGAGCCCTAGCAGTGCTCATTTTAGAGGTTAAATAATTTATAAACGGTGATAAAAATTACACAGAGGATACGCGTCCGGTAACCGTACGTCGATTAGACGTCCGGCAATGACGTCATGGGGTTGCGGGAACCTGGAACGCCTTTACTACAACAATACCATCACCAACCATCGGTGGTCGTGGTGTAGTGGATAAGATGCTCGGCTGATATGCAAGAGGTCCAGGGTTCGAGTCCCATTGGTGACATTAACTTTTTGTCGAAGATTTTGCATTGAATACCATTTATTCTTAACTGTACATCTTTAATTAGAATTTTTGGCATTTATAATTTTCTAATAGAGAAAGAATTTAACCTTAATTCGATTTTTTCATTATCAGCAAGTTTGGTTGGTTAGGTTAGGTTATGACAGTAATTGCCGGACGTCTAATCGACGTACGGTTACCGGACGCGTATCCTCTGCGTAAAAATTAATTAAGCTACATCTTAAGATGGGTGTGTTTATGGGGATAGCCTCTGTGTTCCTAGGATGTTGCAGCAACGTGGTGTTTTTGGAATTACTGGTCAAGTGAGTAGCCTAGATAAGTTACCTATTACCTAATTTTCATAAAACAGACTAGGCCCAGGCTTTGGGGCAGGACTATAAGTTGGTTAGGCCTACTTAAATAGCTCTTTAAAAATGACAATCAATTGTAGGCCTGAAATAAAATCACGAACCATAACTTACAGTTTCTTAACTAGGCTACGCTAATATCTGAACAGCAATCGTTTTCAAATTTTGCATGGTGATAAAGACCATATCGGTGAGTGCCAACATCTATATGGCGTAAAAAAAGTCTTTCATGAATCCGCCCCACTGGGTCTCAAAGTTTCAATGTAATCCTTATGGAAGCAGTATTTTTGACATATAAACAAAGACGTATGATCAGCTGTTGACTTTTTAATGCAGTAGATAAAGAAATAGCTGATAGCATTAAGTTATTCCACAGATATTAGAAGTGGGGTCGTATAGCTGCATATAGGCCTAGTGGCAGAATATTTCAGTTCTGGCAGACAGGCTGCAATTTTAGGTGGTTATAGTATACAAGTTTCTTAACCTAAAACCGCCCAGACCCCAATTTTTAAGGACCTCGGTCGTCCGTAATGACGTCATCAAAATGGCGGCCGTAAGAGGATGCTGGGTCCCCATGAATTGGCTATAACGACCGAATGCCTGAACCGATTTTCATGAAATTTGGCACACAAGTGCTTGAATACATTATCTCGGCCTGGGTTGAAAATGGTCAAGTTTCATCAAGTCATTTCAAAATGGCGGCTGATCAAAACTATAAAAAATTATGAGGAAAATAATTGTGAATTGTTTTATAGGTACAGGGACAGTTTTAAAAGAGTTCCCCCCCTACTTTTTTATACATTTCTTAAGATATCAACTTTGAACCATGTCAGATCATTGTAGAGTAGCAAGAACTTCATTTTGACTGGGTTTACATTTTTGTCCGCCATCTTGGATCCGCCATTTTGGAAACAAAGTTATTTTTTCAAATGTAAAGATAGGGTTGTGACCCACCGTTTCAAACAAAACCTTTACGCTGAATACGATGCTGCAATCCGTTTAAAAAAATTTTGATCAATTCTAAAGTTATGAGAACTTTTTATAACTTTATTTTTAGTCCATTATAATATTGTGCATTAACAAACTAAGGCCATAATCTCAAAATAGTGCTAGATAAAGATAAGTGGACACCACCATTCATTGTTGACCTATTTTAACTCGGTTGTGACGGATGTATTTTTTTCAGCCGCCATCTTGGATCCGCCATTTTGAAATGTGATAAATTATTTTAAATATGAAGGTGGTGTTGTGACCCATCATTTTGAACTACTTTTTTATGTTGAATTCAATGCCGCAATCCGTTTTTCATTGTCATGTTTGGTTTTTGAAATATTGACATTTTAAATTAAAAAAATTGTTATATTTTATCAAGAAAGCTTGATAACAAAAAACGGATACAATAAAAACTAGTCGAAATGAAGTAATCGCTACTCTACAATTATCTGACGTGGTTCGGAGTTGATATCTTAAGAAAAGTATAAAAAAGTAGGGGGGGAACTCATTTTAAACTCACCCTGTATATAAAACAATTCACAATTATTTTCCTCATAATTTTTTTAGTTTTGAATGGCCGCCATTTTGAAATGACTTGATGAAACTTGACCATTTTCATCCCAGGCCGAGATAATGTATTCAAGCACTTGTGTGCCAAATTTCATGAAAATCGGTTCAGGCATTCGGCCGTTATAGCCAATTCATGGGGGCCCAGCATCCTCTTACGGCCGCCATTTTGATGACGTCATTACGGACGACCGAGGTCGTTAAAAATTGGGGTCTGGGCGGTTTTAGGTTCAGAAACTTGTATACTATAACCACCTAAAATTGCAGCCTGTCTGCCAGAACTGAAATATTTTCCTGCTACCCAACCTGACTAAACAGAAACGGTATGGATCATAAATATAATCAAATGACGACACAAGCTTGAGGTCCGTGACGTAGGAAGTGGTGAAGGAAGTAGTAAAGGTGAGCAGTCTGGAGTGTCAAAACTGTTTATGACGATTAGATTAAGGTATCTGCAATCCTAATATTCTATGGGAAGGAAGGAAATCAGGTCCGCGACGTAGGAAGTGGTGAGGGAAGTAGTCAAGGCGAGCTGTCCGGAGTGTGGGAGCTGTTTATGACGATTAGATTAAGTTATCTGCAATCCTAAAATGCTATTGGAAGGGAAGGAAACAGGTCTGCGACGTAGAAAGTGATGAAGGAAGTAGTAAAAGCGAGCTGTTCGAAGTGTTGGATCTGTTTATGACCATTAGATTAAGGTATTTGCGATCCTATGATGCTATGGGAAGAGAGGGAAACATGTCCGTGACGTAGGAAGTGGTGAAGGAAGTAGTAAAGGCGAGCAGTCTGGACTCTGGGAACCGTTTGTAACGATTAGATTAAGGCATCTGCAATCCTAAAATGCTATGGGAAGGGAGGAAAACAGGTCCGCGACGTAGGTAGTAGTGAAGGTAGTAGTCAAGGCGAGCTGTCTGGAGTGTGGGAACTGTTTATGACGATTAGATTAAGGTATCTGCAATCCTAAAATGGTATTGAAAGGGAAGGAAACAGGTCCGCGACGTAGGAAGTGGTGAAGGAAGTAGCAAAGGCGAGCTATTTGGAGTGTGTGGGATCTGTTTATGAATCCTATAGGCTAAGGGAAGGGAGGGAAACGGTTCCGTGACGTAGGAAGTGGTGAAGGAAGTTGTAAAGGCAAGCAGTTTGGAGCGTGGGAACTTTTTATGGCGATTATATTAAGGTATCTGCAATCCTAAAATGCTTTGGGAAAAGAGGAAAACGGGCCCGCGACGTAGGAAGTAGGGAAAGTCGTAGTCAAGGCGAGCTGTCCGTAGTGTGGGATCTGTTTATGACCAATAGATTAAGGTATTTGCAATCCAATAATGTTAAGGGAAGGGAGGGAAACAGGTCCGTGACGTAAAAAGTGGTGAAGGAAGTAGTTTAAAGGCGAGCAGTCCGGAGTGTGGGAACTTTTTATGACGATTAAATTAAGGTATCTGCAATCCTAAAATGCCATGCGAAGGGAGGGAAACAGGTCTGTGACGTAGGAAGTGGTGAAGGAAGTAGTAAATGCGAGCAGTCCGGAGTGTGGGAACTGCTGTTTATGACGATTAGATTAAGGTACTGTATCTACAATTTTAAAATTGGAAGGGAAGGAAACAGGTCCACGACGTGGGAAGTGGTGAAGGAAGTAGTAAAGGTGAGCTATTCGGAGTGTGGGATCCGTTTATGACCATTAGATTAAGGTATCTGCAATCCTAAAATGCTTTGGGAAGGGAGGAAAACAGGCCCGCGACGTAGGAAGTAGGGGAAGTAAGTTGTCAAGGCGAGCTGTCCGGAGTGTGGGATCTGTTTATGACCAATAGATTAAGGTATCTGCAATCCAATAATGCTAAGGGAAGGTAGGGAAACTGGTTCGTGGCGTAAAAAGTGGTGAAGGAAGTCCTAGTAAGTCCGGAGTGTGTGATCTTTTTATGACAATTAGATTAGAAGTGAACTTTTAATATTACATTTAATGATACAACAGTACAACAGCTGACCAGCTGATTTACAGCCAGTGCTGCCAACGTATTTCGCGTGCATACGACCTTGTCTGCATGTTACACGCTCACTATTTCATGCCTTCACGTTGCAAATCTGGAGTGAGTGAGACAAAGTAATTAGAATGAGACAATTTTAACATTGTCTCACTGATGAGCGAATTGGCCGTTGCTTTCTCAAATCAGTGAGAGAACATGTACATTGTTAGGTAACTGTAGGTAAACGATTTTTACTCCCTAAAGAGTAAAAATGCTACTTTAGACCTGCAACACATGCATTGAAAACGACTGTTATTAGCAGTATGACAAAAACAACATAATATGAACCCTTGATGACTCCGCTCAATTTTGTCGATGCCTCTGCGAAAGCCACCTAGTTAGCCTAGACATCATTTAGGATAGGGTACTTAAGCTATAGCTTCATTTGGTATTCCATATATATATCGATTGTGTTTTACGAGACTAAATATTGGGACTTTTTCACACGTGCTGCGGCAGTTAGGTACAAGGCTAGTTTAGTTAAGTTCAGTTTGGATTGAGGTAAATTTTAATTCTTATATCTTACCTATACATTTATTAGTAGGTCTACTAATAAATGTATAAATTATCATTGCATTACACATAGTATAAATAAGTCAAACGTACATATGTCATTTCATTTCTATCCAAATGCTGAATTTGTGTCACAAACGCTGGATGTTTACAGCTGTTACGTTTAAAGCAAAGGGATTTATACCAAAAGCTTGTCTAGAATGTTAGCGTCGGCTGCTATACCTAAAAAATTTAAATTTAATTAAAAAAAAACAAAAACCCTAGGCTAAAACTAAAATTACGGCTTCGACTTTCTCTAGTTCTCAAAATTAGGCCTATCTTTCTTTCAACACAAAAACCATGAAAATCCGGCAAGTGCCATTTATAATCGTGAAATAAAAAAAAACCCTCTCACGTTTTACTATATAATATGATAGTATGATATGATATTCAAGAAATTATGCAGCACTCAGCCTCCAAGTCTGAGATTATTACTGTATATTCTAACCTAATCAAAGCTATTAGCATAACCTGGTTATTTGTCAGCTACCTAATTGAACTTTAGCATTGTTGTGGGCCAAAGGCATATTGTAAGAAAGGGGATTAACCCCGTACCCACGGTGCTCATCTATGCAGACACTCTGTTCACATTACACTTAGTCGACCAGTTGGTGTGAACAGAGTTGAACAGTAGCATGAGCATCGATTTACAAATTCCTTTCCCAACTGATGTGAACTAGGCGATGACCGGTAGGGCTGACTTCCAAGAAACATCGTTAACCTATAAGCCACACACCCTAATACATATATTTTACAAAACTATATTTATATCATATATTTTTGTAATATATTTTTACAAAACACCAGCGCTTTTTCTCCCAGAAGCTA